TGAAGAGTGATGATTTATTAGGTTAGTATGTAGATTTCCAAGATATAATATCAGGCTCTTGTAAATGAAAACTGTCTTGTAAAAATCAATCCAAAGTTTATTTTAATAGTGGTCACTTTGGAAGATTTTAGATAATTTCAAGTATAAATTCAATTAGGATGGTGCTAACTTCACATTTAAAATTCTTCAAAAGTTGTGAAGATGTGGCATTTTGACTTTTGTAGTCAAAATGGGATATGGAGATATTGGTGAAATTTAAATGAGAAAACTTGGGATGAGAACTTAAACTACCTAATTTACCGATACCGTAAAGTTTATGACAACTATAACGCACAAGTTTCCTCAGATACACATCTAAAAATTTGCCATAAACCATGGTCCACAATGCAGGTATGTTTTCACACCAAGGCTAGCACCCGCTCTAAGCAATGGTTTAGCATTTGTTCTTGCCAGTAGGGACATATGTGCTCCATTAATTAATTAAATTTAATTTATTTCTGAAAGACCTTTCAATTACTTTCATATTTGAGTATAGAATCTAAATATAATTGACCCCACATCACAATGTATTTGTTAATTCTGTTATTTATGTGTGGTAATTAAAAATCAGAAAGCACACAGAAATTCGATACCATTTAGTTGGCTAAATATCTAGGTACAGCATATTATTTGTGATGAAAATCATTCACATAAATGGAAAAATATAAAAATTAGTATTGGGAAAATATCTGTTCAATATTCATATTTATTTAAGCTAGTGATGGCTGGAGAGCCCTGGATGTTGATAGCTTATAGGTTGAGGGTGAATATTATTTTCCTACTCCCTAACGTCTACGTTGTGTAAATTATTATTTCTAAGGCCAGTCTGCTTGACAGCTTGAAGCTGACGATGCACGCAGAGGAGACAGCCACTTGCCCTGGCCGGGCTGGGCAGAGGTGAGTCACCAGCGCTGTGACGGCTGTGTTTTATTTATGTTCATTTTTACTTATTTTACAAGGGCACAGTTAAACAGATTAAATATTTTTCCTTTTGTTCTGTTTATTTTATGATTTCAGAACCAATCTGACTCAAAGTTGACAAAATTTGAGAGGGAAAGGTAATGTCAAATAACAGAAAGCCAAAGATCTGCGACAAAGTAGGTAGACACATTTTCACAGAATTTTTAACTTTGTTGCTCTGTGCACACACGTACGCGCACACACGTGTGTGTGCACAAGTGTATGTATCCTTTTCTCCATAAAAATGTTCCTTTTACCTGTGAAGGAATTTTTAATATGGGACAAATTATACTTTATACTATTTTATGACTATGAAAGATATTAATGAAAACTTTTCATAGCATATATTAAATATAAATGTCATTTTAAACCAATAATAATTCTTAAGATTTTTAACCGTAATTCATATTCTGTAGGTAGCTGAAAGTACTTTTTGCAACAAGACTTATCAACATGAAGATTATGCATTTCATATACAATATGTGGGCATATACACAAACATGTACATATTTACATGTATTCACACATGTACATGCATGTGAATGTATATACACATACATGAGCATATATACACAGTATGTTTACACTGCTTTGTTAGAAGGAAATTGTTGAATAGAAGTCAAGTTTAGTCAGTAATTCATATTAATTTTGAAGCAAATATAAAGAGTGCATGATGAAATTTTTATTTCTGAATTTTAATTGAAATTGTCTTCTAGTACCAGAAAGATATGTATAAGAACATTTATTTAATTTGTAGTATCATTTTTAGAATAATTAAGTAAGTTGACTCTGAAAAAAAAAGCTTTCAGCAAATATAGAGACTTTAATGTGTCTATTAGTTATTTAAGCGTTATTTACGAAGTCCTCCCTATGAAGGTTAAAATCATTGATTTAACCTTTGGGTCACAAGATTGCCCTCACATTGAAATCTGCATGTGTCTTTGATTTCTACCAAAGCTGACGCACACAGTGTTCTGGAAAAACCCATCACAGTGAATGATGAGGCAGTTGTTGTTTGTTTAAAACCCCCAACCTTTCTTCCTCTTGTGATTCACATAGGTTTTTCTGAAGACTTCACTGTATCACATATCTTCAGTGACAGATTGTATGATCTTCCAGCATTTCACAAGAAAAATGAACTTTGACTAGTTCTGTAGAGGATGCAGTTGGGCAGTCACGTTAGGAGGGGGCACCGTGCCACTCAGCCACCCTGCGCACATTTGAAGGGGGCAGCAGTATGCCTGAGTGAATGTTTCTTGAGATAATTTCTGTGTGACTGCTGAGATTTATAGAGTTCTCACATTTTCTTCCCCCACAAGGATTCTAAATCAGGTTGGTTCAGAGGCAAAGCCAGCACACCCCATTTTTCTAATATTATCACTTCTCCAGATGGTCGGAGCACATCTACTGAGTTCCCTATTCCTAGAAAGAAAGAGGTATCTTAGGAGACATGCACGCACATGGGCCACAAAGGCTGCACTCTGCATTTTTCTCTTTCTTTCTCATTGGACGCATCCAACCTCTTTCCTCTCTTACCAGGCATGATGACAGTCAAAAGTGTGCGTGGTGAGTGCCTGAAACCTCAGCTCAGGCCCTGAGCAATGAGCAGGTTAATGCCATGTCTTTGAAAACAAGTGACCATGGGAAATGAGGGTTGACAGGGATTTCGCTCTTCAGGAGTCATGCTGGAATATTTTAAGGGCAATGTAAGGGATGTTTAAACTGTGCATGACATCTAATTAAGGAGGAGAAAATAGTAGCTTTAAAAACAAAATCTCTCTTGTAGTATAGAAACAAACCACTGACAATTGGCTACCAGGCATTCGTTTTGGCAAAATAAGGGTACAAAGAGAGACAAAGGTAATGACAGAGGGAGGTCACAGAAGAAGTGCTTGGACCATGTCTTTTATCTCTCTTGCTGCATCCACTTCACAGTTTATTTTACCAAACTGCAAAGCTCTTGGTAAATCAATGGAATTTTCATACAGGTGTGGGGCAGTTATTGATTTAAATGAAAGCAGAATAATTATGCTCTTGCTACTAGAGTCCTCTGAGGATCTTGTCAAACACACCTTGTCAGTGTATACAGTGTGCTTTATCGGTGTATACAGCAAAAGAATCTTTTAATTAAGCATTATCTCATGGCGGGATGTGCGCCCCCTCTGTAATTTACCATAAAGTAGATTAGTATAATCTATGATGGTGCAATGGAAATTCTTATCAACTAAAAAGTCTGATTTGAGAATTTTAAATTTATTTTAAAATTTATTTATCTTTGCGATAACTAATTCTAACTCTAGTATATTTTTCAAATGTTTTTCTAATTTCAAAATTGTCAGTCTAAAATTTTAGCATAGAGGCATTTGTATCTTGTAGAATTAAAGTGTATGTTAAACTTACTTATTAGAAATATAAACTTGAATAAGACAGACCACCCACCTAAGAAGTGCTTGATGACACTTTATTAAGGAGTAAAAATTGAACGCATAGAATGATGAGAGCATAGGAGTGACGAAAACACACTTGCCTAACATTATACACCTTGGAAAACATTTAAAGACACTTATCAAGTGGAGTCAATTAAATATTTACTAGATTCTACATAATTTTTAAAACTTGTATAATAAAAGTACAGTTTTTGATGCTTAAAACCTATTTATAATTAAAAAGCCAAGAAAATACATCAAAAAATTTCCAATTCAATGTTTATCCCCAAATTAAGTTCAAATAAACACATGTTATAGGTGTTTAATTTTCTAATTCAAGGGGAGAAAACATTATCTCTCTTCTCTATTTGAGATCCCATTCACTCCAGAACATTCAGGAAGAGATGTTTCCTACCATGTGAAAACCAAAGAATATGTATGTCTGGTAGAAGAACAATGCTGAGTGGACAGACAGCTCTGCAGACACTCAGTAGCTTTCTTTCATAGGCTTAAAACTTAACATAATTGGAGCTTTTCGCTGCCCCACCCCCCAATCTGGAAATCTGAGCCTCCTCAGAATTCAACACCTCTGGGAGTAAAAGTACTAGAGGTAAAACTGTTTAATCTTCAACTTCATTTAATCACACCCAAGCGATGTGAATATTTACTGCCAATAAAAGTTACATCTTTATGCATCATTTTGGAATCAACTTAGCGATATATTACACATCAGTGTATAAAATCTATACAAACAGACATAGAATAAGTATTTTCTTTCAAAAATCCTTATTTGAAAACAAGCACATACATAATAACACTGTAACCAAATGAAGTACCACGTGATGAGGTTGGTTTTTTCTTTCTTAAATCTATACTGTTTCAAAAAAGAAGTTCACATGGCTGGGAACCAGAGAGGAATGTCTCCTCAGTTCTCACTGAGGTGCATATGGTCTGAAACGTTATGTTTCAGAGGCTAGCTTGACACCAATTAGTCAAATACTCAGTCTTTTGTACAATCATAACACACTGTGGAAGAGCTAGTCTGTTCTCTCCAGTTTATATTCTCTTGGCAAAGCACGATCTACTGCTTATGTTAAGCATCTGATTGTCAGATTCGAGCAAACTGAATATTCATGATGGTGATTAACCATTTCACGTCTAAAACTAAGAAAACACAATTCATCATCCCAATTATTGCGAGTCAGGCAGACACATCTATAAAGAAACCATTTTTGCATTAGTACTGTTTTAAAAAATATTTTAATATAAGTAAAGTCAGAAAAATTAACAGAACGGGAGATAGGGTCCTAAGATACACAGCTCTGCATGTGCTGGGCACGCAGCCCCTCTCTCGGAAAATGTGATTAAATGCTCTTTGTTTGCACTTAAATTGTCACGTAGCATACAGAAGACCTGCTCTTTTAAAAAAAGTATTTCAATGGTCTCAGAAAGATCGCCATAATCACAGAGGTCTCCCAGGCTAAGTCCGGGTTGGAGGGTCTGGGCTGGGAGGAGTTGGAATGAGGGCGAGATGAATTACAAAGCCAGCCAAATCCAAGGAAAACCAAGACTTACCTTTGTAGGATAATTTCAGCCTCGGCACATTGTTCTTCCCGTGTGCGTAGTTTGCTCTTGCTGAGAGGAACGCTCCCCAGAAAATGCAGACCAGCCCGGCCAGCCAGCCCATGCTGCAGGCGCCGTGGGTCCTCCGGCCGCCGCCTTCCTGCCCTCGCGGTGCGGCCGGAGAAGTTCAAACAATCTGGAAACTGGAGGTAACAGGTGACTAGGTCAGTCCCATTCATAAATGCAGCGGATCACGCCCCAACGGCAACGCTAGCACCTCTTCCTCGGCAACAGTCTCTGAAGCACAGAAACTTCAAACCCTCAAGAAGAAGAAGAAGAAGAAAAAAATCGAGCCAGGCACCGGATAATGAGGCACAACTGTTGTGTGGAAAGAACAAAAATTCGCCAGGGCTGCTGCAGGGGTGGCTAGGAAGCAGGTCCTTTTATCTGAGCTCCTCTGATAGCCGGCGGCGGACACTAATCCTGCTGACTGCTGCTTCATTCGGCTCCGGGGAAGCAGAATGAAAGGGAAACAGAGAGAGAGAGAGCGAGAGAGAGAG